ATGTCATTAGGGCTGTGCGTGTCTATCTTTCTGCAACAGAATCCTTTCATATGGCGGTTTCCCTCTTTTTTTTGCTGAGGGTTTCAGGAGAGGTGAGGCAGTCTCTGTGGCCAACATTCCTTATTGGACGTTATTGTTCAGGCCCATGCCCTTAAAGTCTGTGTCCACCTTTTTTAAGTGATTAGCATTTATTGTGGTAATGAAGAGGTGCTGTGATGTATACATGTGCACATTTTCATGACTCGCATTGCAGTCTTTCTTCATTTTTTTTAATGAAGGTTTTGTTAGGCCTGAAGCCTAAAAATTCTAAATTCAATCTGAAACCAGGGTCTCTGACTGTAAACAGCTGCCCCCACAATCTCACCCCATGTAAAAAGATCACTAAACACCAGCTCTGGCTTTACACACAATACACTGATATACACGGATATACACGGATTAATAGGTAAAAAACAGCATTTGCAATGGGATCCGTCCATCCAGTACTTTATTTGTAAAAAGGCATAACAGCAGCAAACAAACAAATGCTTACATGTTTTAGCCCCCAAACTATTAACCATTTAATTTACATTCAAAAGAAAACATAAATAAAATCTTCTATATCACATCACAATATGCACATACAAAAAGAAAAACAATTTTGTAGACATGTAAAGAGACATTAGTTCCAGATATTACATAGTAAATCGGCTTATGCAAATTATACAGCAAATAGGAACTTCCTATATAACATCACAACATCTGCATAGGATATAAGAAATAGAAGAAACGGTCCTAAAAGCACATCGAAAAATATAAATCCCAGATATTACCTTGTAAAAATACCCAAATGCATAATATCCACCCGACCTTTAAGCCTAATCTTGAGATATTGAAGGTTAACCCCTTCATGACTGAGGCCTTTTTTTTCATTTTTTGCACCCATGAAAATGACTTAAAACCCCCACACATTATATATTTTCTGAATGCCAAGACCCTATACAATATAATGGTGGTAGTTGCAAATTTTTATGTTGCGCAATATTAGCGCAACTCCTTATTAAACCCCAAAATTTAGTGACAAATTTAATTAAATGCCCCAAAACACAACAAAATACCAATTTGTTTAATGAAATATAAAAGATGAGGTAACAACAAGTAAAACAATAAGAGCCCGGGAAGCACGGCGGGGGTGTCCGGAGGGGGGGGAGGCCCCTTCTTCGGGACACAGAAGCGATCTGGCTACAGGTAAGTCACCAGAATCGCTTCTGTTGTAAAGCCGACAGTCGACTTTACAAGTTTAAACAGAGTCCCGGTGGCAAAAGCCGCCGGGAGTCTGTTTAAACAGCCCCGATGCTGGCGACGTACCCTGTACGTCGTCAGTCACGAAGGGGTTAAACAGGGAGGATATTACCAGTACTGGTATCTTTGCAGAGTAATATCTGGGATTGACATCTTTTTATATGTTCTCCAAAATTATATTTCTCTTTTACTCCTTTTCCGATGTATGGAGAACGTTATCTGTTCCTTATCTAGTGCAGTCATTTTACTGGGTAATACCTGGAATTGACATTATTCAGATGTTATTTTTCTCTTCTATGTACATTTGGTAGGGATATATGGAGAACTTTACCAGTTCCTCATTCTGTGTAGTCTTCTTTACTGGGTCATTTTTACTGGGTAATGTCTGGGATTGAAATTCCTGCAAAGGCCTTTGAGCATAAATTTTAGAAAGGAAAACAGAGGAGGGGCCTAAATTATTGCCCAGATGTAGCTAATCTCTCTAGAATATTGGGATAGTTCCTATTCACTTTATAATTTGCATAAGCCGCTTTATTATGTAATATCTGGAACTGATGTCTCTTTACATGTCTACAAAATTGTTTTTCTTTTTGGATGTGCATAGTGTGGTGTGATATAGAAGATTTTATTTATATGTGTCTTTTGCATGTAGATTAAATGATTAATAGTTGTCCCACCCCGGACGATGTGGTCCACTTTTGTCAATCCCACTTTCCATTTATCTGGGCGGACACGACCATTACATATCTCGGTATCAGAATCCCTACTAATTTGCATAATTTATATTCCCTTAATTTCATTTCCCACCTGGCCCAACTGAGATTGGATCTGAAAGAATGGACTAAACCGCTCTATTCCTGGTTTGGCAGAGCGGCCATTTTGAAGATGACTGCTCTCCCACGACTTCTATACCTTTTCCAGACAGTGCCGATTCACCTCCCCAAAGCCTTTTTCGCCTCCGTAAATACAATATTTTTAGCTCCTTCCTTTGGAATAATGGAACCCCATGGATTAGCACCCAAACCCTTACCCGCTCCAAGGGCTCAGGAGGTATCGGCCTTCCCCACGTACAGCGATACTATTGGGCTTGCCATCTGACCCGCATCATAGATTGGTCGGTTCATGCCTCCTATAAAGACTGGGTCCGAATAGAACAGCTCCAGTCGAATACCCCCATCGGCTCTTGGCACTGGCTGCAACACTCCCATCTCCCGGCCCAGGTGGTAAACCACCCGACGATAGGCGCCTCCTTGCGTATCCTTGATACTGTCACCCATAAAACGACTCTCTCTTCAACCCCGGGTCCTCTTACGCCAGTCCGCCTGAACCCAGCCTTTCCCCCTGGCCTTCACAAATCTTTCCTACACCATTGGTCCCCCGACCGCCCACATGTTTTTCGACCGACGGGGAGCGTTCAAGACTCAAGTGGACTTGCCCCTCTTATCCCATTCCATTGTGGTCCTACCTACAAATCCGCCATTTCCTCAACATTGTTATGAGGTTTTGTACTTGTTGCTAAGTACTTGTTCACTGCTTATGTACTTGCACTTGTAACTTTTCAAACAATAAAAATGTACTTGTGAAAAAAATAAAAGTAGTTGTCCCACCCCCTTGTGGGTTAGGAACTAGGGTATTTAAGGTATGTAATTTCGATATTTCCTTGCTACGACTAAGGCCCAGTTTGGGGGCTGAAACATGTAAGCATTTGTTTGTTTGCTGCGGTTATGCCTTTTTACAAATAAATTACTGGATGGATGGATCCCCTTGCGAGTGCCGGTTTTTAACCTATTGCACAGTGAAGGCTCCGGCGGAAGCTTTACCAGGCACTGAGGTTCAAGCAGTGGCATTGGAGACAAGAGGGTAGAGCAGCTCAATGTTTCTAAACATATACACAGACTGATTGCAACGCTCAAAGGCAGCCATTTACATGAGGATTTGAAGAGGAAAGCTAAGAAAAATTTAGGTTTCTCATTTCATAAACATCAACTGCATATGCTTTCTTAATGTATACTCTATGTTTTTTAAAAAATCCCTCTGCAAAGGTGGAAATTGGCTTTAAGGGTCAGTCCCCATTTTTCCCAGGTGTGGCTCATTCTACCAGATCAGTTAGTACTTCCTTGGCTTTTCAGCATCAGGCCCCTGCTCTACAAGTTTGTAGGCAGCCACTTGGTTTTCAGTGCACTCCTTCACTCAGTTCTATAAAGTTGATGTAGTTGCTTCTGCAGCAGCGGTTTAGTGTGTGAGTTTTTTCTTTTTGTTCTCTTTAGTTGCCCACCCCTCATTTTCACTGCTTTGGGACGTTTGTTCCATTGAATGCAGAAATGTCTGTGTCCTTCAATGAATGGAAGTGAAGATAGGATTTTTGTACTCAGCAAAATTCCTTTTCTCTTTGTTCATTAAAGGACACAACCCCAGTCACAAGTATATGTTTCCTAGGAAAATTATGTGGGCTGATCTTACTGACTTCCCTCAGAAAATGCTAGATGTTTGCCTGATATTCTGGCTTAAAGGAGAACTATGGGGTCAGTGTTTTTCCCCATAGTTCTCCTTAGGGTAACGGGAGGACACAAACTAGCGTCCTCCCAGTACCCTAAGCTCAGTATACCGCGTGCTACAGCTCGCGGTATACTGAGACGCCGCAGCCGGAGCGGATCCCGACGTAGATGACAGGATCCGCCCAGCTGCGTGAGTGACAGCTGGCTCTGCCTGTCTAGAGGCAGAGACAGCTGTACCCGCCCCCTCCCCCGTCCGTTCCGCCAGTCAGCGCTGGCGGAG